GAACCACCCCGGAAGCCCGCACCAAGCCAATTCCCCCCTAACCCCCAACCCACAATCCAGCCGTTGACCCAAGAACTGCCCAAAGACTCAGAGGCCTCTAAGGAGAGCTTTCGCCATTCCAGCACCAGGAATCAGAGAAGACAACAGAAGGAAGCGTCGGCGCCGGCCAAAACACTGTCTGTCGGGACGTATTCGTCAATCGATGCATCCACATATATGAATGTTGGAAAACCAAAAGACCAGTGGAAGACCACGAGAAACTTAAGGAAGAAGTCAATTTTCGTATTTTTTATGCTATCATATAGATTGTCACCTCACACGTCCCATGTTGATCATTCAATGCACAACGGTGCGTGATGCATGGAAAATTCTTGAACAGCAACTCAAAGGCACCAACACGGTGAAGTCTTCCAAGCTCCAAGCTATCACCACCTAGCTTGATAAGATTCGCATGAAGGAAGATAAGATGATTGATATGTACTATACTCGATTTTGTTATCTTGTAAACCAAAGCGTCGTGATTGATGAAGAGGTTTTGGAGACAAGGTAAGTGCAAAAGCACATCAGAACTCTCCCTAAGAGGTTTTATGGTAAAATAACCGGCCTTGAATGTTTCATGAGAATTCAGCCTCTTGGTATTGATGATTTCCTCGAAGACCTTCATATGCTCGAAATAAATTTTTGGTTTGACGCTTTAAAAAGCAACGGCTTGGTACCGAAGGCCAATGTTCCAACACAAAATGAGGAAGATGATTCTTATGGAGACTGCTTGATGCTGAAGAGATTGTCAAGGCACTCTCTGACGCATAGTTTCACTCGGATAAAAAAGAATAAGAAGAAGAAGTTCCAAGGAAAGAAGCCAGCGTACTCCACCAAGAATAAAAAACAACAATCCGATGATCAATGTTTCATTACACAGTCTTCCAAAGCTCAAAATCATAATCAAAATATTTGAAAAGGGTCAATGTCATGAGTGTCAAGGATTTGGACATTTCCAAATTGAGTATCCAAATTTTTCGGAGAAGAAAAAAAAACTTACCAGACGAAATATTTGGCGAAGGGAAGAGTGGGCACGGTGAGTTTGAACTGGAATTGCAAGGAGAATGAAGGAGAGCGGGTAGGTTGGAGAATTTCTTCAACTGGGTTGTTGGGAGAAGCAGACATAAGTGGAGTGGCCGAAGAGGATGGAGGAGACATGTCTTCCCAGAAAATCAGTCGTTTTTGCTTGAAGTAACAGAATCTGAAATACATAAAAGAGAGGATATCAAAAGAGAAAGTTCTTAAGGTTTCGAATGAGGAAGAAGAGGAAAAAATGGGAAGAGTTCTTGCCGGTGAAGTGAACGGAACTTTGTGGAAGACAAAAAAAAGAAAAAAAAAAGAAAAGATAGAAAATAAAAAGCATGGATTATAGGTTAGAGAACTTACTCATTGTCGCGGGCCGTGGAAGTTGCCGAAGGAAATTAAAAGATTTAAGCTGCTGGAAAGCCGGTCGCACGAAACAAGAAAGCAAGGAGAAATTAAGGCACAAGTATAAGCACAAATCGCAAAGTTTTGATGATATGCAAGTTGTTAGTTCATAGTTCATTCAAACAACAAGTTCTTAGTTCATTCAAGAACAATGTAACTTTTGGTTTTGATGATTTGCAAGTCTAGTGAAGTGCTTTTTAGTTCTGTTGGAAGCTAGTTTTGGAATGAGAGACTATTAGAACATTGGTCTATGAGTCTGATTGGTGTAAGCTTGTTTCAAACACTTGTGCTTGTACTTTTGGATTTTATGCAATGCATTTGGTGAAGCTTTTGAGTATTAAATTTTACTTTAAACCTTATGATAGTTTCTGAATATTCATGAGAATGGTACGTGGTGTCATTTGAGATTTTTGTGTATATTTGATGTTGTTATTATACTATGGTGAAGCTTGTTATCTGTACTATTGAAAAACCTATCCATTTGAGGTTTCTATATATATTTGGAAATGCATTCCCTTAAAATGGATATATATTCATGTTTTCATGACTCTAAGAACATGCATTTCAGTTTTTAACTAAGTCCATTAAATTTTTTGCTGTCATAAAGCATTTCAGTTTTTAACTAAGTCCATTAAATTTTTTGTTGTCATAAACCATGACATGTTCATGCTGCATGCATATAGACATACCAAAATTGCAAATGAATTATTCTCAAGCTACTAAAATAAAAATGCTAGAGATTATAAACTCTGTCTCTAAACTGATATTCCTATTGTATTCCAAATTGACATTACACTGAAAAACTTTTCTAGTTTTGTTCCATATTCATTACAATGTAATCATTTTTATAACCATCGTCAAGCGTAGTAGAAACACCCATCAAAGAGAACATTCAAACCAGAAAATCAAAATGAAACAGATACATATTCACTACTCATTGTTCACCAACATCATTGCATTAGATTAGAGCAAACACCATTGCATTACCAACACCTATACCGTTACACAAACATCACATGAAAGAAAAAAAGGACTTCATTGCATTAAAAAAAGGATTCAATCCATGAAACAAATGCATATTCACTACTCATAGTTTACTACTTGATTACATCAAGAAGCAACTACATACTCATTGTTCACTCGGTGCTTCTACGTATCTTCTACAACATTTGCAACTTCTACTTAAAGAAAAACATCAGCAACCATGAAACAATTAAAATAAGCCACAATATTTTCTCCTTACGACGTCCACGACATAGTTCACCCTCAAGCATGCTCACTCTTTTTCACAAGGCCAGGAATAATCTGTCGAGCCCTTGCACAAATCAACGGATCAATCCAACAGCGGTATGAACAACCTCCAACTTCCTAGTTATCAAGAAAAGGGAAAATGCATCACCAATTCCCCTCTTTACAAAAAGAGGGGAAAAAATCATACATAAATGTGGAAATAAATAATTGGATAAACAAAAATTAGGAGCTTCAATAAAATTCTGAAAATGTGTAGTTTTTCAACACTGATGATAAGCAAATTAGACTTACCCGAAAATTCTCGCAAGTTGAGTAGCGTCTTCCTGGGTTCATGTCGGTTCAAGAGGTCTTCTTCACGGCACTCTTCCCACAATGACAAAAATCATCTATAATAAATTCGGATATTTGTGTCCACATGATTTCAGTTCTTCACAACACTCTTCTTCATAGATTTTGAAGGGATTTGGAGGTCTGAATTTCAGAATTTCGGAGCCGAGTTATTAAGCTTTGAATGTTAGGGTTTAAAGAAAGAATAAGAAATTTGAAGATGAGAATTAACGGAGATTTAAACGGAAGACTGATGGGGATAAGAAAAAAAGTAAAATAAAAAAAAGAGTAAAATTCAGGAGGTATTTTGATGGAAAATAATGTTTAGGAGGCAAAGTGAAAAAATCATAAACTTTAGGAGGCAAATAAAAATTTTTCCTAAATTTTAACTATGCGTCTGATTTGGATATACATTACTATATATACGATAATATCGTGTAATTGTTAATTATGTTGTTCATTTGTATATATGATTTTATATCGCATATAGTTTCGTGAGTATTNAAAAAAAACGTAAACAAATACCCAAAAGAATTGATATGTATATATATTTGGGAGATCATCGTGTAGGAAGCATAATAAATATTTATTTAGTGACAAAATAAAAATAAAAAATAAAAAAGTAAAAAATATTTCGAATAAGGTAATTGAATTTGAAACTCATGAAACTCAATACGATAAATTGTCAAATTGATACAAAAAAAGTACGGTAATTACCCGCTCGAAACTATTCAAAAATGCAAGATTAGAGTATCTGGTGATACCCAATTTGGCTACGATTAATAAAAATACAACACATTATAATATCATTTGTATTATTTTATTCCACATGACTTCATGTCTACATGTTATGCCATATATATATTTGGCTACCATTATTGTAAAGGGGAGAATCACATCTTATCCAAGAAAATCTCGGAAGAGAGAGAAAAAGGAGGTTTTCCAAAATATCAATGAAATATTGAACTTCATCTTGATTCTTCTCTTCTTTTTTTCTTGATTTTGAATAGCAAATATTGTATGTTTATTCTTGTGAACCGAGTACCGGGAGTAGTGTACAGTTCACCCCCATTGCTGACATTTTTGAGCATCAACACCAACCTTGGGTCGAACCCAAAATAAGGCCTAAAAAACAGGCGTGTCATGAGCCAACAATGCCGGTAAATTTTTATTGGAAGATTCAATTATAAGTAACCCAACTCCAATTAAGCTTAAACTTCATAGGTATGTCTATCTTATTGAGACGAGTCTAGTGATAGGTTACTCAATTGAAATGAAAATTGTAAGGTGTCAAAACCAATCTAAAAAGAGAACAACCCATTTTCATAATTTCAAATAACGTTGTAAATTTACTTAATTTTTCATTAAAAATGTTATATATTTATTTTTTCCCATTTTGATATAATTTGTAAAAACATTTTCTCTTCTTTTTTATTTTATGTTTAATAATTTTATTAAATATCTTATAGTACTATAGGCACCTAAATCTAAATATTGCTTATGGTTGGCCATTTGGCATGTTCGGGATAGTTGTAACATTTGAGGTGAGTTAAACCCGGGTGAGTTGAACCGGGCCGAGTTTAGTCACACATCAAAGCACACTTTAGACAGGATTCTACATGATATGTTCTACTTATTAAGATATGTTACTTGTGATCTCTAGGAAAAAATGTTGTCCTCTTAAAATTCCATGGAAAATCAAGAATTTTATTTGGAGATGTCTCAACAATACCCTCCATGTTGCTATCAACTTTTTGAAAAAGAAGATGCATGTTGATCCTATTTGTAAATCCTGTGGTAAAGAACCTGAAACACTTGAGCACTTGTTATTCCACTGTTGCAGGACCAAAAGGATATGGAAACTTGTCTCAATATCTTGGGACGGCCTATCAAAGGAAACATCTTATTTCCCAGCGTGGTGGAGTAAGCTTTGCACCATCACATGCTCAACAACCTCAGACCACAGAATTCAGAACATTGCTTCTTGCTGTGGTGGATTTGGAAGGCCCAAAATCTCTGGACTTTTCAAAATTTTTGGCTAGCCGAGTTCTCCAGTGTACAATCTGCTTCCTCAACCTGAAAAGAACAACTGTCACCTATGCACCTCTATGCCTTTGCTAGCATGGAATATGGTCTTCTGTAGTTGCTTTAGTTATTTGTCAGTTGGCTTTGCTGTATTTAGTTAGCTAGTTGATGTTGTTAGCTTCTTGTTGCCTTTGTTCTTTTTATTTCTCTTTTCAGGTTTGCTGTAGTTGGGGTAATTCTACTAGGGGCCCTGCCCAGTGGTAGATTACTTTATTTGCTTTAGTGTGGAATCGTTTCTCACACGACTAAGTTAGATGTATCATACAAGTCTCTAAGCTCATGCCTTTATCGGTGTTGATCCACTTCTTAGGAGGGTGTATTCAATTGGGAATTGAAGTGACATTATAAGACTTTTTAAGATTTGAGACTTTTTAGAATTTTCAGATTTGGGAAGAATTCTATGAAATCTTAAGTCTGGAGGTAGGAATTGAAGTGAGATTTTGTATAAGGTTTTTTGTTTATAAATCCCACCAAATCTTAAAAAGTCTTAATAAATCGTAGTGTCAAATAAATTAAATAACTCAGGATTTTGTAAGACTTTTGAAAATCCAAATTGATACCCCAGGATTTTTAAAAGTATTAAAAAGTCTTAACAAATCTAAACTGAATACATCAGGATTTCTAAAGTTTTAAAAAATCCTTATCCTAATTGAATACACCCCTTTAGTCTCCTTCGTTTGATTTCTAAGTCGCTACTGTTAGCGTGGCTTCCCATCGAGGTGTTTTAGNTATAAAACCAAACCTTCCACAAACCTCACCAAAAAAAAAAGAAACAAAAATAAATTGCATAGGTGAAAGTGAAGCAGTGAATTGTACGGGCATTTTCTAGGATTTATTGAAGCACGCGCGTGGAAGGAAATTGAAAAAAATAGCGTGAGAGATGGATCATCACCACTGACACCCCACTTGCACATCATTTGCATTCTCGGGTAGTTTATATATATAAAAATAAAATAAAATAACTAGACAAAAATAAAAAGAAAAAAAAAATTGTAGACAAAAATGGAAAGCACGTATTCTCATAATACGTTTTTTTAATTATTTTTTTTAAGAACGTATTACGGTAATACGTTTTAAAATTATATTTTTAAAATATTTCTTTTTTTTAAATAATTGAAAAACGTATTTTAATAATACGTTTTATAAAAAAATTAATAAATAAAATGTATTTTGATAATACGTTTAATAGATAATTAAGAAAGTTTAATAAATAATTAAGAAATAAAACAGTATTATCAAAATAATAAATAATTATTTATAAAACATATTTTGATAATACGTTTTATATTTTAAAATTAATGAAAAAAAATTAATATGTAGTTGTATTTTGTGTTTTGGGCTCGTTTGGGCTCATCTGAACTCGGAATTGAGTTTCGTTTTTTTTTTATACGTAGCTAACGAACCCCTCTATTCAATGATACTTGCATGACCAAATTATTCTTGAAATCATATTCTCCCAGAGCTCTTGACTGATACATTAAACGTGTTTCGCGCGACTTTTCTATTTGGGCCCGTTCGGACTCGTCCAAGCTCGAAATTGATTTATGCTTCTTCCTATATGTTGTCAAGGAACCATTCTACACAACCATGATTTCCTGGTCTATTTTTGGGCTAAATATATTTTTCAAGGGCTAAATAATTAACAAGTCACCAATTATATAAATAGATGGTCCATAGAGAATTTGTTAATAGGTGATTTGTTAATTATTTAGCCCCGTGAGGAATAGATTTAACCTAAAAATTGACTGGGTAATCATGGTTGTGTAGGCGGGTTCATTGGCGACATATAGAAAGAAACGGAACTCAACTACGAGCTTGGACGAGTCCGAATGGGCCCAAAAAACTAAGTCGCACGAAGTACGTTTAACGTGTAAGTCAAGAGCTTTGAGAGAATATGATTTCAAGAATAATTTGGTCATGTATAAATCATTGAATAGAGGGTTTCGTTAGCTACGTATAGGAAAAAACAGAACTCAATTCCAGCTTAGACGAGTCCGAACGGGTGTTATTGTCGTTCGTGGTCACGGCGTCTTCTACCTCCACCAATGTTGGCAGCGGGTTGATGCCTCGCTCTGTGTGACTGTGTACTCTGGGATGGGACGTAGTCCTCCTCGGATAGAACTTGGCTGAACGACGCCCCTTGTGTGACCTCTTGGCCTCTAATAGTCAGAGAACTATAGGTACTCTACCGGATGAGTGCACAGAAGATCAACATATTTGGATGTATAGAGGGTGGATCTTCTGTTGGAACATACGTGAAGTCCACTTGTCTGATACGGTTCTCCGTCAGTTTGGTGTCAGCAGTCCATCCCCCAAAATCCAATGATTAGTGGTGAGCAAGAATGAGAGACACACCACAGAGGTCGTGGAATGACTGGGAGGAGATTTGGTGATCGGGCCGCCTTTCATTCACAGCTTGGCTGAGTCGATGAAAGAGAACAAAATGTCCTCCAAGATGCCCCTATGGATCACTTTCTACAAGCTGAGTAGGGTTACATTGATTGGTTTTACACTAGGACTGTAAGACTTATCAGTGACCCTACCAAGTACACGGTGGTCCAACAGGACGGCGACTATCAGACATTTGCCGAGCGGGAGAAGTGCGATGTAAGTGTTCATAATTTGTGGTTTTTTATTATTTCTTTTTTTCTTTTTTGGTGTTTCATACTAATTACTTTGAATTTTATTTTCAAACTCAAGCCCTGGAGGGGGTTTATAACTCGTTAGCGAATATTCAAGACATATTTCCTACACTCCCTCCACGGGCGCAGGCCGCATTCCAACAATTCTACAACATTGTCTATAGTTATCTTACCAACAGTCCTACAACATTGTCTATAGTTCTCTGACTGTTGGAGGCCAAGAGGTCACACAAGGGGCGTCGTTCAGTCAAGTTCTATCCGAGGAGGACTACGTCCCATCCCAGAGTACACAATCACACAGGGCGAGGCATCAATTGCCAACATTGGTGGAGGTAGAAGACGCCGTGACCGCAAACGACAACAATGCCCGTTCGGACTCGTCTAAGCTCAAAATTGAGTTCCGTTTCTTTCTATATGACGCCAACGAACCCGTCTACACAACCATGATTGCCCGGTCAATTTTCGGGTTAAATCTATTCCTCACAGGGCTAAATAATTAACATATTTTTTTTTTCCGAAACGATAGGATCAACTATTATAACACTCAAACGCGAACAATGTTCGAATACACCGGATAACAAATACAGAGAAACATGAGAGACACGTCATGGACGGTCTAGAGCCTCGACTGAAATACACAAAAAGTCTCAAACTACCACAAATAGAAAAAAAGAAAGCAACCTTCACCACTGCTAAAAGCCTAGCAACAAGTTACATTCCCCTGAACAAACAAGCAAACTGAAAAAAGAAAGAGAAGGAATCACAGCCAAACTACAAAAGAACTAGGAAGCATCTAAAAATTGAAGCCAGTCCGAATGAGCCAATCTGACAAGAGCATGATCTGGAATGAAAGTCTTTTGGAAGATCCATAAGTTTCTGGACTTCCAAAGCCACCAGAGTATATATGTGGAGAGTTGAATCCGAGCTTCAGCTATTTCCGAGTGATTCATTGAACAGACTCTATACCACCAATCTTTGAAGGAGATATCCCTGCTGCTTAGGTCAGCCCACTGAACTGGACAGAGTTTCCAGACATTCTGAGCTCTTGGACAAGAAACAAAGAGATGCTGTAGAGTTTCTTGATCTTCACCACAGATGGCACAAGTTATGTCAATATGCATTCTCCTTTTCCAGAGATTAGTGGCAGTAGGAAGAGTGTCACTGAGGCATTTCCACATAAAGAGTTTAAGTTTAGGTGCTACCTTTGTATTCCAGAACCTCATTTTAGCATGCTTCTTGATGTTAGAAGCACTGCTGCTTTCAGGAAAATCAGCCTGCAGGAGTTTTTGATGAGAAAGGTGTCTATATGTACTAGACACTGAGAAGACTCCTTTTTTATCCAAGCTCCAGTATTGCCTATCATTTCTGTCTGGATGTAGAGTGTTTATCTCAAGAATAGCTGAGCTATCTGCAGCATCAAACACTTGATGGACCAACCAATCATTCCAGTGAGAGCCATTTGGCTGCAGCAATTCCCTGACCCAGATTAAGTGTCCTTGAGCAATAGGTATTAGTGTGGGAGAGGGCCTCTGGAGCTTAGGAACCCAATTATGATCATCAATTCTGGTGTTTAGCCCATTTCTGATCTCAATTCTGAACCATTTGGTGAACAATGGTAAGACATCCATCCAGCTGTTCCACATCCAAGATCCCCCTTTGATTTTAGTTGCATTCACTATAGAAGAGTGGGGGAAGTATCTAACTTTCAGTACTCTGCTCACCAGGAGATCTGGGTTAGTGGCAACTCTCCAGAGCTGCTTGCAAATAAGAGCTTGGTTAAACAGCTGCAGATCATGGAACCCAAGGCCTCCTGATTGCTTTGGTAGTGTGAGAAAACTCCATTTTTTCCAGAATATGCCCTGACCTTCTTCAGAATTTGATTTCCACCAGAAGTTGGCACAAAGTTTGGCAAAGTCTGCACATAAGGTGACTGGCAGCTTGAAGCAAGACATAGAGAATATTGGAAGTGCCTGAATTACTGCTTTCAGAAGGACAGCTTTGCCAGCAGAACTGAGAAGCTTGCCCTGCCAACCAGAGAGCTTTTTCTTAACAGCTTGGAGTATATAGTCAAACACTTCTCTCTTGTTTTTGCCAATGCCTAGTGGAAGACCAAGATACTGAGTTGACCTGTGAGTGACAATGCCATTCAGAGTTGAGCAGATGGTGGACTGAAGGATCTGAGGAGTATTCCTGCTAAAGAAGATAGCAGATTTGTGCAAATTCACTGCTTGGCCTGTGAAGAGCCTGTACTGTTCAAGGATATTCATAAGGATGATAGCTTGATCATTTCCAGCCTTGCAGAAGAAGAGAGAATCGTCTGCAAAGAGGAGGTGAGAGAGCAAAGGGCCATTTCTGGAGATTTTCATCCCTTTGAGCAGTCCAAGATTAACAGATTTCAGAATTAAAGCAGATAAAAGCTCGGCAACAATTATGAAGAGGTAAGGAGATAATGGATCTCCTTGTCTTATGCCTCGGGAAGGAGATATGTAACCACTCAAGGAACCATTGATTTTAAAAGAAAATGTTGCAGAGGAGATACATATCATGATAAGCTTCACAAAATCCATGTGGAAACCCATTTGCAGCATAATCTTCTTCAGACATAACCATTCCACTCGGTCAAAAGCTTTAATCAAATCCAATTTCAGAGCCATGAAAAAGTTTGGTCCAGAGTTGTGTCTATTTAAAAAATGGAAGGCTTCTTGGGCAACAATCACATTATCAATAAGTTGCCTACCCTCAACAAAAGCAGCTTGGTAAGAACTGATGCAATTTGACAAGCAATTCTTCAGTCTAAGGGCTAGAATCTTAGATACAATTTTGTAAACAACACAGCATAAGCTAATAGGCCTGAACTGCCCCACAGAGTCAGGTGATGGACATTTTGGGATTAGAGAGATTACTGTGTGGTTCCAGTATTTGAGAATCTTACCTGAGTTGAAGAAGCTTTCAGTTGCTGCTAGAATATCCTGCTTTATGAGGGGCCAAAAATGTTGGTAGAAGGCTGCTGTCATCCCATCTCCTCCAGGAGATTTATCAGGGTGGAGACTGAATAGTGAGTTCTTGACTTCTTCTTCCTCAACAGGCTTGAGTAAGTCCTGATTCATATCAGCTGTGATTGAGGTGGGAATGTGAGGAAGGATGGATTCCCCACCCCAACATCCTTCAGATGAGAATAAGTTCGAGTAGAACTCCTCTATATGCTTCTCTATCTCCCTCTGGGTGGTGAAGATATTGCCTTGTGGGGAAACCAATCTGGTGATGGCATTGTATCTCCTTTTCTGCATAGTAAGAGTGTGAAAAAATCTGGTATTGGCATCCCCATCTTTCAACCATTTAGACTTGGCCTTTTGCTGCCAATACAGTTCTTCCTGCCTGTGAGCATAATTCAATGATCTTCTTGTTGACTCCCATTCCTCCCAATTAATGGCTGCCTTATTTTGGTTCAGAGACTCAAGCTTATCAGTGAGAGCAGCAATGGTTTTCTGACCTTCAGTGTGGAAAGAGGAGCTCCATTTAAGGAGAGCTATTCTGGTGTTCTTAACCTTCTCTTTGAGTTGGAAGAAAGGAGTGCCTTGAACCTCTGAAAGCCAAGCTTGCTTGACTACCTCTTCACATCCTTCCCTTGCCAACCATCTCCTGTCAAAATGGAAACTTGTTTTAATTCTTTCTCTAGGCAGCCCCAAATTTAGAGCCAGTGCAGAGTGGTCAGAGGCACTTCTGATCAGATTTGTGACAGTTGCATTTGGGTATTGTTGGATTCAGCCCAGAGAGCCAAAGCCTCTATCTAATTTTTCTTCTATTAGGTCAGGGATAGCTCTGTTGTTACTCCAGGTGAAAGGGGGTCCCAGCATTTTGATTTCCTCCATGTCCATTCCTCTGATGAAACTTTGGAACCCATTGAAAGAATTGGGAGTTCTGAGCATACCCCCTTGTTTGTCTTCACTTGAAAGGATATCGTTCCAATCTCCTATGGCAAACCAGCTGTTACCCCAGGATGGTTTATCCCTGAGAAGGCTTTCCCATTGGGTAATTCTGAGGCTTCTGAGGGGGTTTAGATAGACAAAAATTCCCCAATGAGGAGTAGGGGAGGTCAGCAAAAACTCCACAGCTATATAATACTCCTTACATATAATTTGCTTAATGGTTATTTGGGAATTCCAAAACAAAACCAGTCCACCACTGCAACCTAGAGGGTCTACTGTGATGAATCTGTCTGAAAAACCCAGCTTTTTGCTAACTGTATTAATAAAGGCTTTTGATTTTTTTGTTTCAGAAAGGAAAAGAAAGGTTGGGTGATGAGTTCGCAGCAACTCTCTGATTTGGGAAATTGTAGAGGGCCCACCCAGCCCTCTACAATTCCACACCATAGCTAGCATTGATCACTTGGGTGCCATTCCAGGCTGGCAACCTCCACCTTCTGAGCATTTTCTTGAAGTTTGGTTATTGTGTCCTGTTTCTGAAGTTTTGAATCTTTGGATGAGGATGGAAGCTCACATTCTGCAAAAGTTCTCTTCAGTCCTGAGACATTGTCAATTACAATTGGTATGACAGGTTCCCTGAGTAGTCTGCCAGACTTGCTTCCCAATCTTTTCCATGTTTTTGTAGGGCCAGTGGATTTCCTTGTTATGAGTGTGGAAGGTTCAGTGTTTTCTAGTTCCATCAGAGCTGCTTTATCCTTATCTGCTGGGTTAGGGTCAGCCAGCACTTCCTCAGGAATTGGTGTTTTGTTTTGAGAGGAGATAGATAATGCAGTTGAGAGCTTAACAGAAGAAGGAGAGGATTGAGAATTAACTGAAGCTTGAATTGAGTGAGAGGGGTTGACTTCTGGAATAGTGATTATCTGATTGTTCTGGTCTTCCTGGGTTGGGGGGGTTCTTTGTGCTCTTATAGGATCAGGAGCAGATGTAGGGGATGAAGGAGGTGAGCTTCTATTTCTTGAATGACTTCCTCCTGGCCATTTCTGTCCTTCGGTAGCTTTCAGCCAATCGCCATATTGTCCTTCTTTAAGAGTTTTGTCTTTGATATCCTGAAGTCTTGTCTGGCAGGTTCTGTCCAAATGCCCTATTTTGCCACAGTAGTGGCACAAGTTCATGAGCTTTTCATACTTAAGGCCCACACTTACTACTTCCTCACCTAAACGGATGTGAGCTACTCTGGGAATAGGCTCATCCAGATTCAGGGTAACCAGGAGTTTAAGCATTTTCCCTCCATGACTGCCATTGTTCACCATGATTACATTGTTCACTTCCTTAAAGGTTCTCCCTATCTTCAGCCCCACATCGGAGCTTAACCAGTTAAGAGGCAGATTTGTGACTTGGACCCATAAGTTAAGCTCACTAAAGTCGGGATGTTTGCTGCTAAGATTGCGAGACCATTCTCTCAGGATTAAGTACTGATTTTCGAAGCTCCAGTTGGAGCCGCTCGCTACCCGATTTTTGTCTTCTTTGCTTTGGAAGATGAACTGGAAGTAGTTCGAGCTGAGTTCCTTCACCTCCATCTGTTGATTTAGCCGCCATATCTGAGACATTGCTCGTTTGACACCGAACCAGCCCACAACTCTGTCCCCTATAACTTTCCCAAATAAACTCCTTTGGCATTCATTGTCGCTCAATCGTATATCTTCCTTTGCGATATCAATGACGTTATTTTCCCTTTCTGATAAGGAGAACTCGTTTAATCGAGATGACAGTTCTTCATCCAGACAGGTATGCGAGGTACCTTCCATTTCTGGAGCCCTAGAAGAGAGGGGTATCAACAGGGAAAGGTTGGTCGACAGTAATGGATGCAATGAGAGATCTGAATAACACAAAAATGGTTGAAGGAGAAAGAATACTGAGAAGGTCAGATTCCGAGCATCGGAGATGAAAATCGCTCCCAACGGGAGAATCGTGAGCTCCCAATCGAGAGAATTTNAATAATTAACATATCACCTATTAACAAATCCTCTGTGTACCATCTATTTATATAATGAGTGATTTGTTAATTATTTAGCCCATGAGGAATAGATTGAACCCGAAAATTGCCTATAGTTTTCTGACTGTTGGAGGTCAAGAGGTCACACTAGGAGCGTCGTTCAGTCAAGTTCTATCCGAGGAGGACTACATCTCATCCCAGAAAACACAGTCACAGAGGGCGAGACATCAACCCCCTGTCAACATTGGTGGAGGTAGAATACGTCGTGACCACGAACGACAACAACGCCCGTTCGAAATTGAGTTCTGTTTTTTCCTATACGTAGCTAACGAACCTCTCTATTCAATGATGCATGCATGACCAAATTATTCTTGAAATCATATTCTCTCAAAGCTCTTGACCTACACATTAAACGTGTTTCGCGCGACTTTGCTTTTTGGGCCCGTTCGAACTCGTCCAAGCTCGAAGTTGATTTCCCCTTCTCCATATATGTTGCCAACAAATCCATCTACACAATCATGATTGCCCGGTCAATGTTCGGGTTAAATCTATTCTTCACGGGGCTAAAAATTAACAAATCACCTATTAACAAATCTTCTGTGGACCATCTATTTATATAATGAGTGATTTGTTAATTATTTAGCCCGTGAGGAATATATTTAGCCCGAAAATTGACCGGGCAATCATGGTTGTGTAGATGGGTTCGTTTACGACATATAGGAAGAAGCAGTAATGAATTTCAAGCTTGGACGAGTCTGAACGGGCCCAAAAAGCAAAGTCGCGCGAAACACGTTTAATGTATCGGTCAAGATTTTGGGAGAATATGATTTCAAGAATAATTTGGCTATGCAAGCATCATTGGACATCTATTTATATAATGAGTGATTTGTTAATTATTTAGCCCGTGAGGAATAGATTTAGCCCAAAAATTGACCGGGCAATCATGGTTGTGTAGATGGGTTTGTTGGCGACATATAGGAAGAAGCGGTAATGAATTTCGAGCTTGGACGAGTCTGAACGGGCCCAAAAGGCAAAGTCGCACGAAACACGTTTAATGTATCGGTCAAGAGCTTTGGGAGAATATGATTTCAAGAATAATTTGGCTATGCAAGCATCATTGGATAGAGGGGTTCGTTAGCTACGTATAGAAAAAAACGAAACTCAATTCCGAGTTCAGACGAGCCCAAACGAGCCCAAAACACAAAACACATACTATATATTAATTTTTTTACTCATTAATTTTGAATTATAAAACGTATTATCAAAAAACGTTTTATAAATAATTATTTATAAAACGTATTTTGATAATTATTTATAAAACGCGTTTTTTGATAATATGTTTTATAAATAATTAAGAAATAAAACGTATTTGAATAATACGTTTTAGTTTTTAATTATTTGTTTAGTTCTTAATTATTTGTAAAAGGTATAACCAAAATACGTTTTATTTATTAATTTTTTTTAAAACGTATTATCTGAATATGTTTTATACTAAAACGTATTGTCGGAGTATGTTTTACACTATAAAACGTATTGTTGACGGGCGTTTCCGGTCAACGGTTAAAAGGTTAAATAATGGAAAGGAAATAAGGAAAAGACAAAGAAATACGGTTTAATTGCGGTTTTATTAGATGATCACGAGGTCGGCCTCTCGTACGAGGTCGGCACTTGCGATATACTTACGAGGTTTCTTACAAGAGTTTCTTACAAATCTTTAGAGAGAGAAAATATGAGTACAAGTAGTTGGGATTCAACAACCCAAAAATAAATGAGGGGGTTGCTATTTATAGGGGACTTTAATGCGGCACTGTTCGGTCACTGTTCAGCGATCTTGTCGTACAGTAGTTCAACGGGACAAGCCGGCGCTTCCCTGACTGATTGGGAGTGATTTCCGGATTCTCTAATCATTACCTGCCATACATTTAATGCGAACGTGGGCTGCATTAAAAGCGGACACGTTTTGGCTGAGTTGGACGTCCCATCGGCAATCATTCGGAGACAAGTGGCATTATTTTATTGTATTTGACGTCGTATTCCTATCAGGAGCCGCCCTTGTGAGACTTCGAACAGGGTGCCGACCTCATAGTTACATGAATGAGGTGCCGATCTCGGGACTTGTTCCTCCCGCCGTTCCAGATGACTTTGACTCTTATTCAGCTCGGCACCCCGTGCGGTTTTGGTGACCGGCTCCTTCGACTCAGACCGATACCTATGTTGGGGCCGGACTCGGATATTAACATACAGGCCCCCGAGCTCGGGTGTGGTCCGTCGGACCCCTCCTGAGGTCGTCTTTGATCGGTTGGATCCGAGCAGGCCCCCTCGAGTTCGTGTCCGTCTCCTGTTGAAGTCGGCATCTTCAACACACTTCAATAGTGGGAGCGCAACGATTGGCAATAGAAGACGTGGGGTGTAACGGTTGATAAACGTGGGTGCGTGTTAACTGCGTTCACACGGGAGAGGGGACACGTGGCAGGTTTAGAGCCAAGCATTTCCGAAGGGGCGTAACGGTTGAAGGGTGATGACGGTTATCTTGCTCAAGACACTTCAGTCACTTAAGGAACCGTTTCGGGTTTTGAATTTCAAAAGACCTGTCCACGTGTCCTTGTCTGATTGGTTGGGCGATCTTTATATATATCCCCTTTCCAGAAATTTCTTTCACTTTTCCTAAGAACTTCAGAAATCTCTTTTCTTTCGGATCTGTCCTCTGAGCTTTTGCGATCTACGAGCTTGTCCCAAGAGCTTTCCGGCGACAATTTCCGACCACCCTTCGGTAATTCTTACCTTCCTTCCTTATTTTTTCTTTTCTCGTCTTTTCGGTAGAGATGTCTTCTTCTCCGAGATCTGCGGGCGACGGCGGCGACTTCGCCGGTGAGGGCGACAACACCTTCCGGCAGGCGGACGTCATTCTTACCGCCGTCCCTATTTCAGTGATTCGGCCGGATCCTTCGGCGGTCGAAATCGCCTCCGGTAGTGGAGGTGCCGAACCCAACCCTCCTTCGTCACCGCTGCGCGAGGGTAACGATGCCGACCCGGACCCTTTGGCCGCAGCTGACGACGACGACGTTGACCTCGATTTTTTGGACACCGACTCCGATGTCGATCCAGATCTGGTTGATGAGACCCTTCAAGGGGAAACCGGCGGTCGGGAGCGTGTCCCCATGGGGGACGAGTCGTTTGATTCCGCTCTCGAGGCGGTAACCACTGTTCCTCCGGGGTTCTGGCGCCGACCCGAGCGGATCCGGGCGGCACCGAGCCAGGCGACGGCCTGGAACACAGCGTCAATCCTGGATGATGCCGATCTGGCTCAGCTGAGGGGGAAGTTTAACTTCGGCCCCGGTGTTCGGTTGTTCGCACCGTATCCCGGAGAGCGAATTCATTGCCCACCGCCGGGCTGCATAGGGGTCTACCGTCACAGCATTCACTTAGGTCTTCGGTTCCCCCTGCCCGATGCTCTCAATGATATTTTGAGCGGGCTTGAGGTCGGCATTAGCCAATATGTGCCGACGGTATTTGCCCGCCTGATGAGTCTGATCGTCATGTACCGTCGCGAGGGTTGGGCCGACCCCACCGACGACGAGGTGAGGTCCTTGTTCGCTTTCAAACGCGCTGGTGAGACCGGCAACTACTACAGCTCGGTGCTGCCCGGCATCGATAAGACGTTGGTGGCCAAATTGCCCGAGACCCTACACGGCTACATGCCACACTGGTTCTGGGTCGGCGGCGCGTGGATGACCCCGAACGCTACTCGGCACCCGCCTACTCATTTTATTTCTCATACTCGTAAGTTCTTTGTACTTCTCGTACGTCATCGACTGATTTTCTTTCCTTTGTGCTAACAGGTCGTAA